AGACAGGAGGCCGAGCAGCTCCGGAACCAGATCCGGGTGAGGGCCTGGCCAGCTGGGATGGGGAGGCCAAGTGTGCAGGGCTGGGTGGGTGGCTTGTTGGTACTGCTACCCAGCATCCTGAAGTGGGCACGGTGAGAAATTTTGAGGGGTGGAGGAGGGTGGGCCTCCTAATCTTTAGTTGTTTCATCCTCTCCACTTCTGTCTCCTGTTTTCTTCCGTCTTCTCCCCTGCCTATCTTCTCTCCTGTTTCTCTTTGCCTGGCTCTGCCATCTCTTACAGGATGCCCGAAAAGCATGTGGGGATTCAACGCTGACCCAGGTGAGTGGATCCAGGGCAGGCCTGAGGGTGTCAGGGTAAAGGTTACAGGCCTGCTGATTTGTGGGATCCTGCTGCCTCCCTGAGCCCATTCTGCTTCCACCTCCAGATCACAGCTGGGCTGGACCCAGTGGGGAGAATCCAGATGAGGACACGGAGAACCCTCCGTGGGCACCTGGCAAAAATCTATGCCATGCACTGGGGGACAGACTCAAGGTGTGTGTGGTTGGGTTGGGGCTCTGTGCTGAGCTTTTGTGATCCAAGTGCTGTGGGCTGACTTTGTAGTTGGGAAGAGATCTGTCAGGATGAGCCAGATGCCCATACTGCTGGAATATATTTGGGAAGACTGATGCTCACATCCCCAAGAGACCTGGGAAGCAGGGACTTCTGGGCTGTTGCTGGGTTGTCTCAGAAGAGCATCAGCCAAATGGGAGAGGTTAGAAGGTGTCCTGCCTCCAGAGGAAAACTTCTCACCTGAGCCTTCTGCCTCTCCTCACGGCTTTCTCCCAGGCTGCTGGTCAGCGCCTCCCAGGATGGGAAGCTCATCATCTGGGATAGCTATACCACCAACAAGGTAGGTGTGGTGCCTGGGGCGGGGCAGGTGGCAGGGCCCTGGCTGGCTCTGACCCTGGACACTGCCCCTCCTTTCTAGGTCCATGCCATCCCACTGCGCTCCTCCTGGGTCATGACCTGTGCCTACGCGCCCTCAGGGAACTTTGTGGCCTGTGGGGGATTGGACAACATCTGCTCCATCTATAGCCTCAAGACCCGTGAGGGCAATGTCAGAGTCAGCCGGGAGCTGCCTGGCCACACTGGTGAGAGGGGCTTGGCTAGGAGCAAGCACTGTTTTGGGGGCAGGGGCTATGCTGCCCTCTCTATCCAGACCCAGCTGACCAACCCCCTTTCCCAGGGTACCTGTCGTGCTGCCGCTTCCTGGATGACAACCAAATCATTACTAGCTCTGGGGATACCACCTGGTGAGTCCTTGCCAAGCTGGGGAGTCTGGGTAAACCCACACTTCCTGCCCCAGGGGCTACTGTCTCAGTCTCAGCATTCAGTGCACACTCTAGCCTCCCTCTCCTGGGGGTTGCCAAAGAAATGGGGAAAGGATTGGCCCCTTCCCAAACTAAGGGTCTTTGACCTGGGACAAGAGCAGGCTCTTGGGGTCTCTTTGGTAGGTACTCTGTTAGGGCTGGGCCCATATGATATAGGGAATGGGGAATCAGAAATCTGTCCTTCCCTCCATCTCTGATCTTTTCCTTCCTGTTGTCTCTCCAGTGCTCTGTGGGATATTGAGACAGGCCAGCAGACTGTGGGTTTTGCTGGACACAGTGGGGATGTTATGTCCCTTTCACTGGCCCCTGATGGCCGCACCTTTGTGTCGGGTGCCTGTGATGCCTCTATCAAGTTGTGGGATGTGCGGGATTCTATGTGCCGACAGACCTTCATTGGCCACGAATCTGACATCAATGCTGTGGCTGTAAGTTCCAGGGCAAGCCAGTCCAGTCCAGCCCCTCCCAACTAAGCTTCTGGCCCTCCTCCATGCCTTCATCCCACCCTGACCATGTGTCCTACAGTTCTTTCCTAATGGCTACGCCTTCACCACTGGCTCTGATGACGCCACGTGCCGCCTTTTTGACCTGCGGGCTGATCAGGAGCTCCTCATGTATTCCCATGACAACATCATCTGTGGCATCACCTCTGTTGCCTTCTCACGTAGTGGCCGGCTGCTGCTTGCTGGCTATGATGATTTCAACTGCAACATTTGGGATGCCATGAAGGGTGACCGTGCAGGTGAGACTATGGTGCCTGGCAAGGCAGATAGGGATGGAGAATCCAAATCTAGGGCAGGTAAGTTCTGAGGTTTTTCTCCCTTACAGGTGTCCTTGCTGGCCATGATAACCGTGTGAGCTGCCTTGGGGTTACTGATGATGGCATGGCCGTGGCTACAGGCTCCTGGGACTCCTTCCTCAAGATCTGGAACTAACCTTCCTAACCCCAACTGGGCCCAGGCTGGGAGGGGCCCTGCCCATGCCCACACTACAAGCCGGGAGCTTTGGGGCTGGGTACACACCAAGCCTCCTTACCCGGGCCATGGGACCCTGTTCCCCCACCCAGGTTTGGTTCCTCCCAGGGCCCCCACTGTGGAGATGAAGACGGGATGGAATGGGGGAAGAGGAGGGGGCAGTAAGGCCCTCATCCTTTTGCTGCCCTGGGGTCAGGGCCTCACCCCTCTGGAGGGCCACAGGCAGGTGGAAACTCCAGGGGCTGGCTTTTTTAAAACTGGTTTTATTTTAATTTTTATTATATTTTCAGTTTTTCCATAAAGGAACCAATTCCAACTCTGTACCTGGGCTCCACCCTTGTGTCTTTCTCATTCCTGAAGGCAAACAGCATCAGGGAAATCCTACTCTTCCTCAGCAAATTAGGTCCCAGGCAAAACATTCATTTCTAGTTAAGCTGCCTGCCCAAAGCTCTTTTAGTTCCCAGCCTTGAGCCATGATGCTCATCTCTAATTCCTCTTCCCCCAAAGTAAAGACAGCAGATGATACAGAAAGGGAGAACACACACCAAGTTTTATTGGAAGAAGGGAAGTATTTACAGGGACAGGTAAAAGAAAGTCACAGGGTGAGGGAGACTGTGGGTACAAGGCAGACAAGGAAACAGAATGACCCCTACACCAACCCTAACCCTAGGAAGGGTACGGGGCAGCTAGGGCCCAGGAAGACAGGCTTGGGAAGGACAGCAACAGGTCTGAGTCTCTGAGCTGGGGGGGGCTCAGGGACTTGTAAACATTGACCACTCTCAGAAGGGGATGGGGGTAGGAGAGGGCTCCCCCTATAGTTCCTCACAGGGTTAAGGCCTCTCCAGGCTCATGGGCCCCCTAAGTTCGAAGTCTCTTTAGCTGGGGGAAGGGGCAGGAAGAGTGTCTCCCTCTCCCCTGCATTGGCAGCACAGGGGTGGGGGCAGTTACATTCAGTCACAACAGGAGTCTCCCCTACACCTCAGATGTGCCAACACTGGCAAGAGGGAAGGGGGAGTTGGGGGCCAGCAGCAGCAAGACACTCCTGGGCCCATCACCCCCTTATTGCTTTAGAGAGAATATTCTTTTCACGGACGCTAACACTGTCGAGACCAGGGAGAAGCAGGTGGAAGGGCCCTTCCACCCAGAGGCCAGCTTGATTCCCCCAACACTGACCCAGTTGCCACTTTGGTGCAAAAAAAAAAAAAAAAATCCACCTCTCGGTATGGATGGGGAAAGAGACAGCCTCTCCCCAATTCCCAAGGGCAAGAAGGATAAATACATTCATGGAGGGGAGGCAGTGGGAGTCTCGCCCTAATACTGCACTCTGCGTAATGAGGTCGGTGGGAGGCGTCAGATGAAAAACTCAAAGATAAAAACTAAAAAAACAAAAACAGATGGAGACAAACCCAGGTGGGGATTAGGACTAAGTCAGCGAGGAAGAGAAAGGGCGGCCTACCCTGACCCAGGAGAGACACACTTTCATTCCTGACCCCAATGTCACCCAGCACCGAAGGACGCACCGACGGGGAAGGCCACTTGCTCCTCTCCCACTTGGTCAGCGGCAGGGTCAGGCGCAGAGCCGGGTGGTTCACACCCCACAAAACAGGCTGAAAGCTGGGGGCACTCTGGTAGCAGCCCCCCACATTACAACTGTAGGTTCCCAAAGTGCTCACTCCTTGCCTTTCCAGACCCCTTCTGCCCCCTTCACAGGAGAAACAACTTAGTCCTGGTAAGTGGCGCCTCCTCCCTCTGCAGTTCCTGGAGGAATCATTCCACCCCTGCCTCTGGCAGGGATGAGGCAGAGGCAAGGTGGGGGCTCGTGGCCCAAAGAATACATTCAAGTGGCAAGGCAAAGAGCTGGGGCTTTCAGGTTCACACCAGGGCATCCCCCCAAATGGCAGCGGTGGGGGAAGCCCCTCAACAGGGCCAAAGTCTGAGTCCAGCTGCCCTGCCCCACCAGCCAAATGAGGTTGGCACTGACCCGGCCCTTAAACCCCGTCAGCCAGTGCAGGATGGGAGCCTGGGGGCTGAGGTGGCTTGTCCAATTTGTGCAACTTTCCCCCAAAGCAGCAAAGCCAAAGGGCTACTTTGGCCCCTACCCCAGACACCTCTGCCACAGTCATAGCAATGTGGAGGAGCTGGAGAAGCTGGTCACAGCCGGGCGGCAGATGGGGCTCTGTGGTGGTAGTGGTGGTGGGGGGTGTCTCGCTGTGCAAACTGCTGGCACCCCAGCTTCCAGTTACCCCATGGCCCACCTGGGGGCAGGAGGTAAGTGCAGCCTCGGGCCCAGGCAGGACAGGTCCATGGGGCCTGTGTCCCCACTGCCCCCAAAATATAACAGTGTGTTTTTCTTTCAGCCTCCTAACCATTTTTTTCATTATTTTTCACTTTTCTTAAAAAAAGCAAACAAACAAACAAAAAAAATCCCCCCCTGCAAAAAAAATATCCCTCTTGTGGACCTTCTATTGTCACACACCCCCATCCCCAGAGGGGTAGAGGATGTTTAGAGTCTAGTTTAACAGTTTCGTCTCTCCTAACATTTTCTTCAAAGTCATTTAAAATTAAAAAAAGAAAAACAACCCCTTCCCCCCAATCTGTAAAGTGCCTCGTGGTGGGTGAGTTAAGGTGCATCGTGTGGTTTGTAACAAGTGCTGGGGCCGCTGCCCCTGCCTCCTCCTTGGCTCCTTGTGGGGAGCCTGCAGACTGGGGACCTGAGGGTCCATGCTGCTGCTGCCGCCCCTGGTCTACAGCCCTGGAGCTGGGGGGACGGGCTGGTCAGTAGTCATCCACACTCTCGATCTCACCAGAAGATCCATGTAGGGAGTACCCTGAAGCCAGGGGAGAAGCTGCGTCTGAGCTCTCTCCCTGGCTCCCCCTGCCCTAGACTGAGGGAACATAGTTCCACTTTTTTTTTTGAGACAAGAGTCTCACTTATAACCCTTGGTACAGTGCCGTGACACCACAGCTCATAGCAACCTCCAACTCCTTGGGCTGAGGCGATTCTCTTGCCTCAGCCTCCCCAGCAGCTGGGACTACAGGCACCTGCCACAATGACCGGCTATTTTTTTGTTGCGGTTTGGCTGGGGCTGGATTTGAACCCACCACCCTTGGTATATGGAGCCAGTACCTTACCCACTGAGCCACAGGTGCCGCCCCATTTCCACTTCTTGCCCCTGCCCCTGCTCACCCAGGATGCTGGGATCTGAGTGCAGCATCAGTGCCCGCCTCTTGGCCTTGCTGCCCTCCCCAGGGCCCAGTTTGGTGCTGTGGTTGGCCTGGAAGGCCGTCTGCAGGGAGGCACTGCTCAGCCACGCTTCCTAAGGCAGCAGATAACAGGGCAAGTCAGGAGGGTGCTGAGCAAGCTCATCTCATCTGCCTGGGCTCTACAAGACCTCACCTGCTGCTGCTGCCGTTGCTGGCTGGCTTTCTGCTTGGCCCTCCGCTCTAGGAATTGTTTGGCAAATTCTTTGGCTTCTAGCGTGTCCCCCAGGCAGGAACGGATATAATCATGGACTTCATAGGGGGATTCCACCTCCTTGAGGATCGCTACAGCCATGGGCACTGTGGGCCAGGAGGCTGTTAGGGCCCACCTGGTCCAGGTCTAGAGCCCCAGTCCCAGCCAGCCTCCAGGATCTCCCCAATGATACCATCTAGGCTGCCCGTGGTGCTCAGCGTGTGTAGCATCTGCTCACACCACTGGGTGAAGCCATCCTGGGGCCTGGGGATGCCCTGTAGCAGCTTCAGCAGCTTCTCTTCTTCCTCTGTCTTTTTGCGAACAGGTCGACCTGCTAGGTGGCTGTAAGAGTCGCTGAGGGAGCCAGGCAAGTTAAACACAGGAATGTTCCACCTCCTTCCATCCCCAGCCATCTCAAGAGCCTCCAGACCTGGCATGTACCTGAGAGACGGGCTGCTCCGGCTATTCTTCAGGCCAAGGCCACGTACCAGGCTCCCACTGCTCTTGGGGGTGTCCTCCCAGAGCCCCAGGCTGCTGCTGCTGCCCCCACTCTTGTCGGGCCCGCCCCATAGCGGCCCAGCCTCAGATACCCACTGGTTCAGGGGGCCAGTCCCCAGGCCCCCAAGCTGCTGCAGATGGCAGAAAGTCAGGGTGGCCAAAACACAGCACCCAAGAGAGCTAGGTGGGGAAGTTCATGCAGCAAAGGGATGAGGAACAAGGCAAGAAATACAGGGGAAAGAAATCCCCATGATGATGTGAGGAATAGGGCATGGGCTAGGAGAATATGGGCTCAAGGCCTCCCTCCCCATGTCATCCTGGATATTGCCAGGAAGGGATTCCCGTCAACGGGAGGGGCACAGCCTGCTCACCACACGGTGGTTGGGGACCTGGGCCCGCGCTGGCTCCCGAGGCAGGGGCTGCTTGTGCAGCTGCCGCTCACCCTCCAACTGCAGCTCAAGCAGCGTCTTCATGGAGAGGCCTTGCTTGGCCAGCCCAGCCCAGATCGGGGGTGGGGAGCTGGGTGCAGGGGGCACGGAGACTGCAGCTGCCTGCTGCTGCTGCAGCAGCTTCAGCAGCAACTCCTGCTGCCGCACCTGAACCAGAGGGACACGGTGAGGAGGCTACAGGGATAGCAGTCAGCCAGAGGACAGGGCAGCACTGACCTGCTTGCGCCGAAACAGCTCTTCCTCTTCCTGCCGCCGCTTCTGCTCCTCCTGCTGCTGCTGGCGGCGCTTCTCCTCCCGGCGCTTCCGCTCCTCCTCCTCCCGCTTCGCCCTGAGCTCCACTTCTCTGCGCTCTTGGAACTGAGACCACCAACCCAGTTAGGTGGGAGCTCATGGTACTGGCCTTGGACCTGCCATCATCTGGCCCTCCACACCCAAGGACTTAAGCCCCTGTATTGCCTACTCACTTTATGTTGCAGCTGGAGTTGTTCTAGAATTGGACCCTGAGTCGAAGAGTTAATTGGTATGTCCCAAAGACTGGCCTCACCACCTGTAGGCAGGCAGCAAGGACAGCTTCAGGAGGGAACTCAGGCCCTCTAGTCCCAACCAGCAGCAGGGCTCCTCAGCCACAAATAGCAGCTAGAGCTGAGGGAAGCTGAGGAACAGGGCAAGGCACCCACTCCCACAGAAACTGCCCAGAGAGAGTGAGAGGCAGGGCAGGGACAGGTGGAGCAGGTGGGGTAGGGGAGGGAGGGAGGTGCCAGCCACACACCTGACTGCGATGAGGCTGAGGTATGTACATCCCAGAGGGGTCCTGAATCTGGCACCGACAAGGACCGGCTCATTGTCGGGAGCAGGTTCTGGTCCCCACCTCTGAGGAGCAAATCACTGATTCTCAGGACCCCAATCCATTTTTGGCCCACCTATCCCCTAATACATTATCTCCAGGGTACACAGGCACAGCACCAGGATACACGGCAGCCCACTGACCTGGGGGGTTTGAGAGCCTGGAGCTGTTGCAAGAACGCTGTGAGCTGCTGCTGTGTTGGCGTCAGGTCCCCCATAGCTGCCTTTTCCCGGAGCGCACACTGTGGGAGCTGTCGGCTACAGAAATAAGGACAAAGTGTACGTGTGTGTGGATGGGCCTCACAGTCAGCATCCCACCCTGCTTCCACACCCTCCCTGGTCCCCCATACCTGCTGACCAGCTGGAGAAATTGCTGGTGCTGCAACTGTTGGTACAAGGCCGCTGCTGCCAGCTCCTGTTGCTTTTTCAACCGCTCCTGGTCCATGTTTCCCTGAGCAAGGACCAAAGTAAGGCTAGTGCATGGGGCAGCAATAGGCACTGGCTTTGCTGGGGCCCTGAGGCTGTGACCCAGCCCTGCCCAGTACCCTCACTCCCCATCCATCCATGCAGAGGCATGCTTACCAGCAGTGGGGGCGGTGAGGGCCCTGGGGCAAAGGGCACACGGCCCCACATCTTGATAACCTCACCCAGAGGCTGGAAGCCCTCATCACAGCCCCGCTTCACAAGCAGTGACATAGAGAAATAGCCAGCCTGGAACCACTCTGCCATCTCCTGTGTCGTGAAGGGGCCTGGACCAAGGAAGAAGAAAACCATCAGGGTTACAGGGTGCGCCTAAGAAATCTGAAGAAGAATGGCCCTGAGTAGTCCTCCCACTTGCCAGAGGCACCTTGGATCTCCCCCTGTGGGTCCTTGTAGAACCACTTCCGGGCAGCGCCATGGCTGAGGGGGAGGGCAGTGGCAGCAGCAGAGTGGCGCAGGCCCTGGGTCTGCATGGTGGCTGTGAACTGCTCCTCCTCCAGAGAGCTGTCCTGCAAGGAGGCCACCAGCTTCTCCGCCTCCTGAGTGCCCAGGAAGAGAGGTAAGGCTCAGCTGCGCAATCAGAGCAACATCAGGATGGGACTGGGGTCAGAAGGTCAGGTCACGGATGAAGCAGGATAGTCAGGAAAAACATGGCTCTCTGCCCTCTGCAGGGAAGCCTCCCTCCAGCTTTCTTGCCTTCCCCACCTGCTGCAGGTGCTTCAAGCCTTCATCATCTTCCAGGTCTCCAGGAGGGCCGGGGGGGGAGTCTACCCCAGGACTCAGCTGGATTCCCCTCCTATCATCTCCTAGGAGAGAAGGAAGGAAGGTGGGGTAGGGAGCCAGAAGAGACAAGACAGTCCCCTACCACCCTCATTCCAGAATAATGGGCCCTTGCCATAGTCCTCCCCAATCGAAGTGTGCCCTGCATGCCTCTCCCCACAGGAAGAGTGTGCTTTCTCCACCAGCCCCAGACCTCAGAGAAAGGACAGCTCCCACCCTGTCTACCTTCAGCTGCTGGGAGCTCTTTCTCTACGGTTTCGTCACCATCCCCATTTGTCCCCCAGAGTGGGCCCAAAGCAGGCAGTGGGGATGTGGAGCTGGACTTTTCCTCCTGAGGAGGCAGCGGGGTCAGCTCCTCCCCACCTGAAAGAGAAAGATAAGGATGAGAATTCAAAACTGGAAAACTAGACGTCCTTACACATGAGGTAACACAAGCCCTCCCTGTGGCCAGAACTAGGGGCTCTGGGCAATGAGTCCACTCACTTCACTGTGGTCAACTCAGCTAACACTTAAGTAGGAATGTGGTGAATTTACCAGCACAGACTACTGTGCACACTGACTTTTGCCTCACACCTCACACACACGTCATACTGCTGTACAGGACTAGCCACCATATTCTACAGCTTCTTCAAAGGATTTTCAAAGGTCATTTTGATTATGTTTGATTTTTATCTGACATGCTATTGTTAAGACACAGCTCTGTTGGCTCTAGGATTCTCTCTGCTCTTACTTGCTTTTTTTTTTTTTTTTTT